CTTTACAGTTATACCACAGTATTGTATTGTCTCGGTATGGCTACGAATGCATTCCAGGTCAGGTAATAGAGCATCAAATGTATTAAATTCAAATATATCACCACTTCACGACAATCATGGATTCGTATAGGTACAATGTTATTAAAATAACATTCATACAATGCATGCAAGCCGAAATTAACAAATCATTTGTTTAAAATTACAAGTCATCATTTCCATGAAATTATCCAAATAATTAAGATCTTTATGTCAAAATAAACTTCAGGTTTGATTAAGTATTGTTTAATGTACGTCATATCAACAGCTATACATGGTCATTTAAGGACGGCCTCCCCATATGCTAGATGCATTCGTGTGGTGAGTTTGTGCATAATTAATTTGTGTTTTGGGAGGCTGTGGTATGTTCATGTTTGTCTCCTTGTGATAGCGCAGGACTGATGCTGACTTTATAGTGTAATTTCACTGGAGCATACTGGTGAAGACACATATTATTTTACGATCGAACCTCGTTATCTCACCATCTTCAATAGCCAAGGGTTCATAATTTAAATTTATACTATTCAACCTTGGCGGATTTAGCCTTGTGTTTAATTCCCCTCCCCTGCCACCTAGCAGAGACACTTTACTAGCAAAACTTTAAACTTTCAAGATTATTTCAGCACTGGTCGCCTATGTATTTCCCTTGGTTATCATTTACAGTTAGAATATGGCAAATTATCTCTACCAACTGATCAAATACAGAAAATGTTTCTTTAAGTATATGCACACTTTGTTTTTTTGACATAAATCATGACATAGTCGACATGGCAACTTGGTACTGGGCGCCGCCATTATTATTTACATGCACAGGGACTTGGTATTAATTTCTAACCCTCAGTTCACATATGTGTATTAAATAATGTATGATATAAAAAAATGTGGACCATAGGATGGTAATTCGTGCCAAGTCCCTGTGCCAGGTTCAGTAATTTGAAAGCTTAGAGAACAAGGCTAAATCCGCTAAGAATGAATACATGAATAGGTGAATTACAAAATGAACGCTTGGCTAGCAAAGATGAGATGTTACAGGCTGGACAGATAATGACAACAAAAACAGGCTGAAAACATATATGGAATGTGTTTTGTAAAATTATGATGGAAGTCCATTTTACTCGAAATACCTGACGTTATTTTCAATAATTTTCAATTAATAGGAATCAGTTTGTTTTTTGGGTTTCATAAATCCTCGCAACCATTTTTAAGTCATTTGCATAAGAAAGGTTTGCCAAATATCTGATTCTTTGACAACTTTCTACAAATATATAGCAGGAATTGAGCTTTCTATATTCACTGCACTACATACACTTCATATTATTTGTTGACATTTTTCTGCTAAAAAGTTTCCTCAAAAGATGCTGATAACCGAAAAGAGTCTGAAACCCTAATCATATCTTTTAGAATACTGTGTTTAAAAAAAGGTTATACCGGTACAGTACATTTAACCTAATATCACGTCCGTTAATGTCATTTTTCGGTTATNATCCACTAATACATAAGTTAACATAAAATTGTACTGCAGTATTTTTAAAGTTGGTCCCCTGAAGAATCGGGGATTTCTTTCATGTCTACTACTTGGGGGACATTTGAACATACCAAAATAGATCTTCTGCCCCGATTGGGATCTTAAATCTTTCCTTTCTTTCTTCACTGTTCTGCCTTTCTTTGTCGTGCCTCCTGAGAAGCATGGCGAACAATTAAGGATCACTCTGTCCGTTGTCGTTGGCGGCGGCAGTCACATTTAAGTTTCCCAGACTTTTTTTCGCCACCATTTACCATATCAAGTTGTAACTTCGTATGTGGCTTAATCATATTAGATTACAGATTAAGTTCGAACCACGTGCCAATGTTTTATTTTTTTGCTAGAGTTACATGTA